ATATACACACACACACCCACACACACACACACACACACACACACACACACACACACACACACACACACTACAAAAAGTAGAGAGTACATAGGAATTGTAGGAGCTACATCATCCTAGTCTACACAGCAACAGGTGCACATAGTGGAATCCAAAAAGCTACACTTACAATTCCCACCTTCTGCCCGCTGCCTCCAGGGAGAAGGAACGGCAGCTGCCTCCTCAGTCTCTCCCTCGCAGATTAACCAGGTAGGTGGGACAGCTCAGGATCAGAGAGAAGAAAGCATTCGGAACGAAATACCTCGATAAGGAGCCAGCGAGCTGTTCCTTTTCGTGTCAGTCCCCTCCCTCCCCTTGTGCTTGTGCCTCCCTCATCTGTGTGACAGCCTGCATTACCAAGGCATTGTGTCGTACAATGGGAACCCTAGAGGCTCCCACGCCTGCTCTTAATCGAGCCAACGTAGAGGGGGCAACAAGTGCCAAGGAGGAAACTGACACATAACGGAAGAAACTTTAGAAGACAGGTGAAAAGATTAAGACTACTTGTCGACGTTTAATCAGTAGATCAAAGATGATGCATAAGCAAACCTGCTGAGCAAAACTGAACACTCATCACACCGTGGAGCTGAACAGCTCACAGGAAGCAGGCAGTTAATGAACGTTATAAATAAATCACTGCTGGCACCTAACTTTGGGAATATTTACATTGACGTCATTTAACACACAGACAAACCTAGCAATATGTGCAGTATGCCAGTATGAGCAATGTTTACTTTGTAACTGAACACAACTCATACCGATTGTGTGGCTGTTTTTGTTGAGCAATGCGTTTACCAATAGTGTATCATCATGGCTAAGTACAAGACACAAATCAAGGTTAGCCATACATGTATCGCAGGCTGAACAAGAGAAAATCAAGATTCCTCCATCCATACAATACATTCCCAGATAGCAAGCAATTGAGCTGCAAGTTTGAAAATGAGTTGCTAAACTATTGCAGACTTGCCAAGCTTCACAATTGTGTTGCACAATTACAGCAAGTCTACATTGCAAGGGTCCAGATCAACGTGCTTTGCAAAAGTGCTGTACACTTGTAGGGCTCTTGCTAAGACCTGCAGGACTCTTGCTGTAGACTTGTCAAGCAAATTTGCTACAAATTCAAAAAGTGTCAACTAGAACTTGTGCTGCGAGTGTTTTGCAAGTCTACAACTTGCCAGGAATGTGTGCAGCAAGTTAACAAGAAATAGAATTTAACCCTAACACAAGTTTGTGGGAAGTTATCCTTGCTATCTGGGTTGTGGATGGAGGAATCTTCATTGCCTGCTATTTTATTCGCAACACCAGCAGCCGTCTGATTACCCGAATAATGATTCATCTGATAGGATACAGTCACTGTTCAGACAATAATTCTTCACCTGCCTTAGTCGATATTCAAATCAACTTTCATAGAGCCAAGTGGCGATACAGGGCCACAATTTTGACTGATTCAGCAGGTATGGGTGGAAATTCAAGCTCCAGTATGTATGGGCAACTTTATATCCGACCAAGAATGGCTGTGTTTTGCTAATTCCTCCATGTAGAAGACTATACCCAATGTTCAAGGTAGTGTTATGGTGACACCCCCTGGCAGGTGATATGGGCTCACCCGAGGCGCAGAGTCTAAGCACCAGCCAGCTTTGGTAGTGGAGATGCATTTAGCTTCTTACTGGTGCCAGGATTGCCCCACCAAGGGATGAGCCAGACAGGAGGGTTCCAATGAGGAGACAGTAATCCAAAGCGTGGTCAGGAAAACGGTAGAGGTCCCAACAGGAGAACCAGAGAATGGTCGGATGGTACAAGTCAGCAGCCAGTAGATAAGAGTCAGGCGACAAGAGCGTAGTCAGCTCCAAGCAGGGGTCGAGGCAAGCGGCTAATAGAAAGTGCTCAGACAGTCTGGGTCAGCAGAAAGTGAGTCAGTTAGTAAGGCAGGAGACAGGAGCGTAAACAGGTTCAGGTAGAAGATTAGGGCAAGCAGAGAAGGGTTAGACAGTCTGGGTCAAGGCTCCTTTCCTTCAGGGCACACTGGATGTTCTGATCCAAATTCTAATGCCGTCATTGGTCTTACCGGCCTAGATTCTATAAGGGCCAAAAGAAGTAACGTCAGGGCTCCTGTGAATACCATTAGAAATACTGGCGGATCTTTTTGAAGTTGTAGCCAGGATTCTGAATGAAGGCCTGTAAAACCCAGCAAGGACTCTGCGAGTACCATAACAGGAGGCCATATATGTTGTGACCACATTAGTGGTACCCCATAAAACTATTTCATCATATTTCACCCATATCTGCCAGATACAGCATACCCACTACCTTGCCTGGTTGTCATCAACCCCCATATTTTTTTATAAAAGATACCAAAACCATTCACACTCTGAAAAAGAACAAGATAAAAAAAAATGCATGTGATATATGCAAGTTGTAAATTACAACTCTGTTGTAAAACGAAAACGTTTTGCTTTGCCGTTAGCTTCCCCTGTCGTTTTTCGGCAATTTCAAGTCCCTAAGAAAATATTTTGCATTTCGCACAAATTGACCTCCAATGTCTCTGCGCCATAAATGCAAATTACACTGCCCAGGTGTAGGAACCAGATGGATAATTACAGGAAATGGGCTCCTGCACAAGGCGGCCCCTAAGAGACACATCACAGCAACCTCAATGAAATTATGTCCGTGAAGCTTTGGAAGCAATGAGACACTGGGCATAAAATAAATATATATATATGGTAAACTGGTGTCCTCCCATGGCCTTTAGTTAAACTATCCAGACACTGGCTGGTTTATAAATACACCAGTGAAGTAGCAGCCTTATCTCCGAGAGGGTGGGCAGTGTGATTTAGTGAACCAAAGGCAGACGGGGCACTGTAACAACAGTCACTGATAAAGAACAGAATTCTTTCAAGCAAAATACCAAAGCATTAAAAGCTGGTCAGTTAGCCGCCATGAATAAAATAATCCCTGCACATTAAAAAGGTAAACTCCAGGCACATATTAAAAACTTTTAATCCAGTTGTGCATACATTAAAATACATTAAAGCTGAATTCCAGCAAACTATGAATCCCATCATGCATCTGCCTGTAGAAACTCATGTCTGTGGCTGTCAGTCTTCCAATGCCTAATGGAATTTGCAGCTCCACAGCAGTTGAGGGCGAAAGTTTGCCTACCCCTGATAAAGACTAACAGGGGGAAAAAGAAACCCCATTTTTGTTTCCCTCCTCATCTGCAATGGAGAGAGCGTTTCCCTCACTTCTTTTACTGGAGACATCGGTCACTGGGACGGGCGACAGGAAATCTCCCTAACAATGTTTAGAAGCTGACAAGAATTATCCAACCCTAAACAGCTTGAGTAGGGCTTCAAATGCAATTTTAAATACAGCCTGCATTTGTAACTGAATTCTGTCCTAGCCACATCATACAGCAGGGAGAGTCAGCATGGCTCTACTGCTGTCAGTCTAACACAATGAACATGCATACAGGAGGGAGTGTGCTGCTGCAGCTTCATTTTCTAATCCACAAGCTAAGGTCAGGTCCTTGACCGAGCAGTACTGCTTAACTGTACTGGACGTCAGGAACCGGCCAAATTCGCCAGCTAAACCGGATTAAAAATCTTTTAGCAAGTGAATCTGTGCACACACACACACGCACGCGTATGTGAGCTGTGGATTTATCCATTTGCTTGGACTTTAGATTTATGTATATCTACATACTTGCAAGAGATTTGATGTATTCAAAAATAATCAGGTCCCTTAGGGATTAACAAGCACGCAATGAGATTCACGGGCATTGAAATAGCTGAGTATTGCTCGACGATATTGCTGCATGTTGAAAATTCCATTTGGAATTCAGAATTCACTATCCTTACATGAACATATCAGTGGTTTCTATTGCTCAGAATTGCCTAAAACAGGATGTGAGATTTCAATTGAGAGGATCCCAGTGCAAACAGAGACTATCCCCAACAAGTTGTTTATCCTAAGGAAGGGTTAAAGAAGATTGTTACGGTGGACCTAAGGTTGGGCTTTAGGACACATCCCATACATTGTAATCTCAGATTGTAATCCCATTTGGAGGTGACCATTTCTTGGCGCCTTCATTCTTACAAAAAGCTATGTTCCCCTCACTCAACTAACTGTTCTCTGCATTATAAGTATAAAACACGTCATCTAGATCTGCAACAGATCCTTCTAATTAAGATGTGGCAATATCACTTAGGGCCAGTGCACACCTAGGCGACACCCCACCTCGGGGCAATCATGCACGATTCCGCGCCGATTGCCGCACGTTCAGGAGTCGCCCAGGTGTGCACCGATTGCACTGTGGGTGCCATTATTTTTCCAATGGCACCCAAGTCATGCCAGGCGGATCGCCGCGATTCCACCCGTGCTTCCGAAAACAGCCGGGCATCGTGTATCGCAGAAAGAGAAAAAAAAAAGTACAAGTACGTGGCTGGGGTGCCATTGGAAAATAATGGCACCCACAGCGCGATCGGTGCACACCTGGGCGACACTTCTGACCGCACGGCAATCCTCTCGGAATCCTGCACAATTGACGCGCTGTGGGGTGTCATCTAGGTGTGTGCCGGCCCTCATAGTCAAGTCACTTTCATGAATGATAACCTGATGAGAACACTAAAGTCATTTTAGGTTTGCCTTAAATTTAAGAAGTAAAAACAAATAAGGATATAAAGATCACCTGGTAGAAACAAAGTTCCTGTTTAAATTGTGATACTAAACACGAATGTATGACTAAATCTACGGAAGGTCCATCTGTTTCACACTAGTCCCATCTGCTAGTTTATGAGCACTTTAAAAGTGTAAGCCCACCCAAAACTGATACCACGAGTCACTGTCACCAACTCCTACAGAAATTGTTTCCATCTATAGATACCCAACTCTACAACAGCTGCACGTTTTGCTAGACAGGCTTTTATGTCAATCAGTATCACTGTTTTCCACCTATTCCAATAAGACCTCGTTCACACCTAGGCGTATTGCATATGCGCATCTGTCGCGCGTTTTTATTACCGCAATTCGCGTTTCCGAAGGCTACTTGGCTGTATCCCAATGGAAACGCGCAACAAAACGGCCCAAAGTAGTACATGTACCTTTTCAGGCGTGGGCCGTTTTGTAGCGTGTTAGGGACAGGCGGAAATACGCCAAGGTGGGAACGAGACCATTGAATACAATGGGATTTATATTTTTGAGCGTTTTGTAGAGCGTTCGTCGAGCGTAGAACGAGCTACAAAACGTTCAGGTGTGAACGAGGGC